TCCACCTGCTTCTGCCTCCTGAGTGTTGGGATTAAAGGTGTGCGCCACCACGCCTGGCCCTATTATTTTTATTTTATGTGTATGTGTGTATTGCCTGCATGTAGGTAAGTGCACCTGTGTCGTGCAATGCCCCCAGAGGTCAGAAGAGGCATATGAAGGTCAAAGTCAAGTTTTAATTGAATTAATCATTTTATTTGCCAAAGGAAAATCTCAAATTTTTGGAAAAAAATCAAAACTATAGGAAAAGCTACTAAAAGGCCAATGAGACCTTTTTTATAAAGAAACCTATTTTTTTTAACTATATACATCATATTCAGCTTATCCTTTCTCACATGCTGTGCTATGGTTTGTCCCCAGCAACCCAAGCTGGGTACCCCATGTAATGCGCTTGGAGGCACAGCCTGGCAGGAGGTGCTTGGGCTATGGAGGCAGAGCCCTCGTGAATGGGTTCATGCCTTTGTCATGTACATGAGTATTCATTCTCATGGGACTGGATAAGTTACCTCCAGAGCTGACGGCATGAAACAAGTCCATCCTTGTGATCACCCTCTCCTGCATGCACCCACTTGCCCTTCTGCCGTGAGTAAAAGTGGCACAAGGCCCTTGCCAGATGTAGTCACCCAAGCTTGAGCTTTCCCGCCTGTAGTATCACAAGCCAAAATAAACCTTTTTCCTTTATTGAATCACCCAGGCTCAGATTTCTGTTAAAACAGCCAAAAGCTAAGACCAACTGACTTTGAAGTTTAGTTGAAGATTCTAATGCTGGGGATGGAAAGATAGCTTGGTGCTTGCTGGGCAAGCATGAGGATCTGAGTACAGTCCCCAGAGCCCATGTCAAAGAAAAAGTCCAGCATGGTGACACACACTTGTAATCCCAACAGATCGGTGGGACTGACTGACCTGCTAGCCTAGCATATTTAATAAATTCCAGGCTGGGACTGGAGAGAGATGGCTCTGCAGTTAAGAACACTGTCTTGCAGTGCTCTTGCAGAGGACCTAGGTTTGAGTCCCAGCACCCACATGGCTGCTAACAATCATCTGTAACCCCAGTTTTCTGACCTCTGCATACATTGAATGATGCAAGTACACTTACTTGCAGGCAATATACTCATACACATAATAAAATAAATATTTTTTTAAATAGTAAGTTTTGGGTATACACATGAACACATACAAACACACACAAAAGATTCTAATACTGGATAAGAATTCTTCTGAACAAAAAAAAAGGGGGAGCTTGAGTCTATGAATTAATGGAAAGCTAGGTGAATCATTTACATACATATGGATAGAGAATATGAAACTATTGGGTGTGAGATGATTTGAAGTGTTCTCATTATCTGCTGCCCAAAGTGTCTAGCTTAGTGACTCACTACAGGGTCCATAATTCATTCATTACCCATTGTCTTTGAGTTGACCTTATAACCTCCAGAGTCCAGGAAAAAATAAAGTAACCTGTCATAACAGTTCCTTTAAGGTGACAAGGTCTTTCTTATTGCTAGGAAGCCAGAAGAAGATAGAGAGGTGGTACTGAACTGAAGATAGATTCCTCTTGGCTCTATAGTGTTGCCAAGTGTGACCCTGTAGAAGTGAATTACCATCTCCATTTCAGGCACCATCCAAGGTTCTTGTACTCTAAAACAATGGGCCTATTTGTACCAAAGAAAAGGTCTGCACATAACACATCAACTCTGTTGTAAAGAGTAAGAATTATTCTCTGATCTAGTTAGTCACTGTCATATGTGCTAATCTGAAACTGGTGTATGTCTGTGTCTGTGTGTGTCTGTGAGAGACAGAGAAAGACACTAGGATTGAACCCAAGGCCCCACACATGCTAGGCAAGCATTCTACTACTGAACTGCATCACTAGCCCTCATTGCACTGATCCAACCATTAGACATGGGAAATGCCTCCGAGCCAGAAACCAGTGCATTTCTAGGAAGCTGGTTACCTCTTCTTCCCCTTCTGGTCCCCGGCACAATGCCTAAGTGGAAGCTGGTGGTAAATGAGGACTAATGACTGATGACCCACCGTCCTTCCCACATGCTGACGGCCCAGCTCTCTGATCTGATTTTCCCTGGTGACAAGATCATAGAAGGGCATCTTAATGTCTGTTTACATGCAGTCCTCACTTTGTAGGAGTCAGCACTGTGCCTGGAGGAAGAACAACTGGCTTGGTACACTTGAGAAACCTTTTCTCTATTTCTCACTTATTGAAGATGGAGGCAACATAACCTCAGGTCTCCTTTTTCATAAGCGTAGAAAGGCCAGAAGCAGCTCAGATTTGTGAAGGATTTAGTTGACACTCTGCTTGGGAGCCAGCGAAGTATAGGAGGCGGCAAGTGGTGTGGGCATTCCCCTGCTTGGGGTTTTGGGGGAAATCTGTATGTCTTTATCTTGCTTGGGTAGTGGAGGGTCCAGCCTGGCCTCCTTTCTGACTGCAAAGTACTGACCACTACTTCACTTGACATTCTCTTTTCTTAGTACTCTAAGCTCTGGAGCACTCAATGTATATCACATTTCACATGCTATCTTGTTTTTATTGTTTCCTGTTTCTCAGTGTTTGACAGCCCTCACATATACAAAAAAGTGACTGGCCCTGGCCCTGCCTTCCCCATGTCATGGGTCCCTTAACTCCTGGTGACAGTTTCCAACAGCCTCCTTTGTCCCCGTCCCCTATCAGTGTGCTTTATTCTTACTGTGATGTTCACACTGGAAATGACAGTCTATATGTGCTGTGCACAGCCCAAACTAGAGCCTTTACCAAGAAACGAGCCCACACACAGCTGCCAGTCCTTCTTAGCCAGTGGCAGCAAAATGCCATCAGCACCCTGCCCCATGCTCAGTGTTGGCTCTGTTTTCACTTCATCTGCTGCGGGGCAGAAGTTCTTATTGTGCAACTCATTGGTTTTTTTCATCCTAAAAGCAGAACTTTACATTTTCCTCAGTTCATTTTATCTTTTCTCTACTCTGGAATTTGTAATATTATTCCACACCCCCCCCACACACACACACAGATGGGAGTTTGTGAAATTCCAATGCAAGAGATCGTTAAGGGACTGGAGAATAAACTTTTGGGCTGGAGAGATGGCTCAGCAGTTAAGAACACTGACTGTTCTTGCAGAAGACCTGGGTTCAAATCCCAGCATCCACATGGCAGCTAACAGCTGTCCATAACTCCAGGGGATCCGTCAGCCTCTTCTGACCTCCGAGGGCATTGCACAACATGGGTGCACTTACCTACATGCAGGCAATATACACATATACGTAAAATAAAATTAAAAAAATACTTTTTTAAAAAATAAACTTTTATTAATTTTTGGTTCAACCTTTTCATCTCCTTAAAAAGCATTATGTATATAATGTGTAATGATCAGATCATTGAACTCAATCCTTCTGGTATTTACAATTGCTTGTATTGGGAACATTTAAAATCCTCTACTAGCTGTTCTGAAATATAGAACTAAATGTTGTCAACCACAGTTACCTTGCTGTGTGATATACAGCAATAGAATTTATTTCTCGTACAAGAATTTTGTTTTCAGAGGCTGGAGAGATGGCTTAATGATTCAGTGATTAAGAGCACTTACTGTCCCTGCAGAGAACCAAGGTTCAATTCACAGCATCCACAACAGGCAGCTCACAACTGCCTGTTACTCCAGCTCTGGGGGGGATTTGACACCCTCCTCTGGCCTCCACAGGCACCTGCATGTACATGGTGCACATACAGACTAGCTGGTGCACACACATGATAAAATAATAAATCTTTAGAAAAAAAAATTTGAGGATGGGGCTGGAGCTCAGAAGTAGAGTGTTTGCCTAACATGTGAGGTCCTGGGTTGCATCGTCAGCACTACAAGGCAAATGCCAAGAAAGGAATTTTATTTTTTTAAGGCTATATTGGGATTGGCTCTGTTGTAGAAAAACCCTGTTCTCACTCTTGGTTATAGAGGAGTTACATTCAAATTTCTAGTTTGTGAGGTGTTCTTTCGCTTTGAGGGGTTGAGGGTCATTTCAGTATCAACAATTAAATAAATTAAAGCAACAAGCTAAATATTGATGTTCACTAGGCAGCCTGGTGCCTCAATCCATTGGCCAGGTTTTCAGTCATCAGGTCCTAGCTGGGCACTGAACACTATATCCAGGGAAACCGAATCTAACCGCTCCTGTCTGTGTGTCACAGTTACCTGGCTGAGCAGTGCTGGAATGGAGGCTTCATCTACCTGATCATGCTGCGGCGCTTCAAGCACAAAGCCCAGTCGACTTACAATGGCAACGGCAGCAACAGCTCGGAACCAGGAGAGACACCAAACTTGGAGCTGGGTGACCGAACTTCGAAGAAGGGGAAGAGAACAAGGAAGTTTGGGGTCATTTCTAGACCCCCTATCAGCAAGGAATTCAAGAGCAGTGCTGGCTGTGATTTGGCAGATGACCCCAGCTCTGAGCTGGAGAACAGCACAGACCAGGAACTTGGAAATGGGCATGCCTTCGAGCTAGAAAATGACCCGCATTCTCTCAAGGATGTGGCTGGATCCCATCTAGAGAGGTCAGAAGTGGACAGAGGAGCAGAGCAGACAATCCCAAAGATAGATGTTCCTCTGGCCACCAGCAATGACAAACGCCGCTTCTCAAAAACTGGGAAGACGGACTTCCAGTCCAGTGATTGCCTGGCACGGGTAAGGTTCAGTTTGATTACAGAATCGGAATTCTCTTCTTTTGGTTCGTGCGTGTGTGCATGCATGCATGTCTCTGTGTGTGTGTACGTCTGTATCTGGATGCATGTGCACACATGGGAAACCAGAAGACAATCTCAGGTGTTTTTCCACTAGTGCCATCCACCCAGGTGTTTGAAACAGGATCTCTCAGGGAATGAATTCAGATCCTCCTTGCTTATAAAGCAAGAGCTTAACTGACTGGGCAGCCATCTCCCAGACCCAGGAATCCAAATTTTAAAGTAAATATTGTTGAAGTTGTTTTTCTAGTTCAGAAACTATGCCCAAGATGGCTTTGTACTTAGAAGCCAACAAACTCAAGATAAATGATCAGAACCTTTAACAACAAAAGTCAGAGTCATTTTATCCCCCTTACATAAAGAGCTAGTGAAGTGATCTAAGCGGAAAATTCAAGCATCCTGTGGTAAAATTGGAGTCTTCTGAGGCCCAGATAAAGCACTTGCACAGCATCATTATTCATTACCACTGTCACAGGGAAATTGCTACTTCAAGGCTAAAGATTTCTGGTGGCAGTTGATAGTACAAACATCCCAGCCTCCACGTTACACAGGAAGGGCATCCAAAACACAGGGAAGCATCTGCTTTTATTTTTAACAGTTTAACAAGTGTTATTTTCATGAGATTATGTTATTGCATTGATAAATTCCAGTGAAGCTCAGAAGCATCTTATAGAGTTCTCAGATACAGTGTCATCTCTCTGCTGTGGTCAAGATTGGTCCTATGGAAAGGCAAAGACACCGTTGCTGGGTGAGCTGCTTGTCTCCCCCATCTCCCCCAGCATCCTCTCATTAAAGTTTCATGTCTGTGCCCTGAATCTCTTGGCAGAAGGTGCTGTGGACCCTTAAGGGAGCAGTGGCTTCCTGGGTAGGGTGCTGACTGGCTCTCTGACTCAGAAGACACTGTTAGGTGTGAAAGAGAGAGTTGGGGAGGAGGGAAATCTGTGTGCAAGCATCCCGTTCTGGTTTGGCTGCTGAGAAAGTGTGCCCTGGGAGTGAATGGAATGTCTCATAAGGCTGCTTGGTGTCATTACCTCTATAATTTTAACCTGTCTGTATGATGGGTTGAGAAGAATTATAATAATAACCACTCTTTTGAGGGACCACATTCCTTCAGTTGAGGAGCTGGGGCATCGAAGGCCTTACACAGAGGCAGTGTTATCTGTTGGATGAAGAAGCAGATGAGAAGAAAAGTGATGTTTCTGTCAGTGCTTTTCTGTTAACTTTATGCGGCTCCCCCCCAAGAGGTTTAAGGACAAAATACACCTCCCCAAAAGAGCAGTAATATTATGTATCCTTTATTAGCAACTACTCTAACTTGATAATATTTTTTTTCTCCCTCATGATTAGACCGAATCCACAGAAAACCTCAGATGAAAGCTATTAGGCAGGGAGCATTGACTTCCCAGATCATTTCAAGGGTTTTGGATACCAAAGGTGGTTGAATCTCACATACAGTCTAGAGAACAGGCTTTAATTTGTCCTCAGACATGATGAAAATAATTCAGAATGATTTTTGAAAAAGAAGAAAAAAAGCCCAAAATTTTAAGAGTATCCATCTTCTACTCATTTTAATTTTTAAAAGACATAAAATTGCCGGGTGTGGTGGTGCACGCCAGCACTCGGGAGGCAGAGGCAGGCGGATCTCTGTGAGTTCAAGGCCAGTCTAGTCTCCATAGTGAATCCAGGCCAGCTGGGGCTACAGGGAGACCTTGTCTCAAAAAGGCCCCCCCCAAAAAAATTAATTAATTAAAAAAAAAAGACATAAAATTGAATTTTTGAATTAGACTGTCTGAAAATTACATGTACCAAAGTTCCTTTGCCTACTTTTTAAGCTAAGATCAAATGGCCCAAGAGGTATGAAGTGGTTAAAAAAAAAAAAAAATCCAAACCTTGGTGCTGGAGAGATGGCTCAGCTGGTTAAGAGCACACAGACTGCTCTTGCAGAGGACCTGGGTTCAATTCCCAGCACCCACATGGCAGCTACAAAGCATCCTTAACTCCAGTTCCAGGGGAATCTGAAGCTCTCTTCTGACCTCTGTGGCATTGCATGACACAGGTGCACTCACATACATGCAGGCAATACACTCATACACATAAAATAAAAGTAATACATATTTTTTTAAAAATCAAAACCTTAAAGATTTTAGGGTTCCCTCTTCAGAGGGGGGGAATGTTAGAGAAGCAAAAAGCCCTATTAAAAAAAAAAGAAAGAGAACACAAAGTTCTCAGAAAAAAGTAATGGGGAGATATGGGAGCTGTTGGAGGGAAGGGGGTAAGCATGGATTTGATCAAAACACCTTATATGCATGTATGACATTCTCAGTAAAGTTTTTTAAAGTTAAAAAAAATTTTTAAAGCTAAGTTACATTTTACTTGTTTTTATGTGTGTTTGTGTGTGGGTGTGTGAATGCCATGGCACACATGTAAAGTTATAGGAACAACTGGAGAGATCCAGTTCTCTTTTTTCATCATATGGTCCCAAGGATCGAGCTCAGGTTGTCAGGCTTGATGGCAAGTACCTTTACTTACTGAGCCATCTTATCAGCCCCAGGGAACAATTTTTTTTTAAGCCACATTCCTCTGGAATGGAGAGATCCACATTTGAAATTAGCACTTTTTGTAAGCATCCATAACCCACAGACTGATGATTGGCCCCATCACACTGTTGGTGTTGGTAAGCAAGAATAGACCACACACCTCCTCAGGCACACATTATCAACTTTGACCCCCAGAGTGCCCCCACTGATACGTTTGCCCAGGATTCAGCTGACAGACTCTTCACAGCATCCTTCACACCCGTAGCCCCACAGGAACCAACAGACCTCCCTGAAGCATGGCCAGGTTCTTGGGCTGCAGTGAGTGGATTTTTATTTTTACTCCAACAGAGTCAAGACCAAGGTCATGCTAAAATGGAATTCCCAGGAAAAAAAGAAAATAACTATTTACCTTTTAAGTCTTTGAGAAAGAAATTCCATTCTATTTGAATAATGGGAGATTTAATATGTCAGTGGTGCTAGTTTCTGCTTTATTAATGATTTGATGTATCTACAGACAATAAATTATAGAAAAGGCCTGTAATGCCCATTCAGACCATTTTTGTTTGATTGGTACTTCTTTTTTATAGACTTACTTGCTCTAAAAAAAGTATTACATTAAAATAAATCCTTGTCTTTGTTTCCTTGTTCTGATCTCTCTTAACAGAGCAATAGGAAACATATTTTCTTTAAACAATCTTGTTTAGTTTGGTTTGGTTTTTTGGAATCTGGCCTTACTGTGTAGCTCTCCCTGGCCTTGACCTCACACCAGTTCACCCGCCTCGGCCTCACCAGTGCTGAGATTGCAGGTTTGAGCCACCATGCTTGGCTTCAAATATTTCCTTTTTTTAAAAGATGTATTTTTTAGCCAGGTGTGGTGGCACACACCCTTAATCCCAGCACTTGGGAGGCAGAGGCAGGTGGATCTCTGTGAGTTCAAAGCCAGCTTGGTCTATATAGCAAATTCCAGGTCAGCGGGAGCTACAGGGAGACCCTGTATCAAAAAGACCAAAAAAGAAAAAAAAATAGTATGTTTACATAAAATAGTAACTGAAATTATACACACACACACACACACACACGCACACACACACACACACACACACACACACACACGCGCGCGCGCGCAAGGCGCAGAAGCAGATTAAATTTTTGAAATAAAAACTTGGGCCCACCTTCTAAAATACGAATATCTTAGAATATAGGCTAGCAATTTTAGAGATAAGCTCAGAGCAATTTAAAACCTTACTAACAAAGCCCATTAGTCATTCAAGATAATTGTATTTGTCTGTTTACCTAGAACTCTTTTTATAACACTAGTAAAATGCATATAACCAGATACAGGTACATAACAAAGGGGAAAATCCTACCATTTGCCAGTTTACTTGTGACTACCATGTGTACGTCTGGGGTTCATTTGGGGTCTGACCCCAGTAGCCGTTATCCACCCTATATAGTTCCAGATCTTTTCCTTGAAAGTGGTTCATTGGAGACCTCAGGCAGCCTGAGGAGGATTCTCTTCTAGAAAGCCCCTGATGTCATTGGGTGAACACATTGCCTTGTGTGGTCACATCTCCTATCTTCATCTTCACCTCTTCCTTACTCTCCAAGCTTTATACCAGCTGCCTGCAGGATGCTCCCATTGTAAACCTTCCATCTCATGCCTAAAATCCAATGCATCCCTTTCCAAACTGTGAGACTCACTCTCTGTTCTAGTCTTGCTTGGCCAAAGCTTGGGTGACCATCCATTCTGGTCTCCCTGGGACTTCCCTGTTTGTCACTGAACGTGCTAGGCAGGCCCTCCTGGTGAAGTCTCCTGAAATGTTGTTTTCTGCCTTACGTCATATCCATTCCATTGCCAAGTCCTGTCTGTGTTGATTCCCTTCAACCCGGGTACCTCTTTTCCCCACTGCTGGAACAGGAGGTCAGAGCACTTGTTCTATGTAGTCTCCTACCCACCTCACTGCCTTCACTCCCCTCTGTTTATCCACTGGCCCTATGTGGGATCTTTCTGAAGAGAAAATCGTGTGACTTATTCTCATACATGCACATGTATGCATTCTGTGCACACCCACACATACACTTTAGTTAAGCCCTTTGGATGAGTCTACAGTAATGTCCAAACACCTTGGCCTGTCATTCGAGTCTCTTAATCTGTACTTTCTGTCTCAATCCCCCCTGCTTATTTTTTTCCTATACTTACTGGCTTATAAAGGATAAAATAAAAGATTTAGATGGATAACCAACTGAAGGGTGAGGATCATCACACAAGAGTTTTGTCCCTGTAGGGGCAGGTGCCCCTTATCCTGGTACATAGATGCATTCTCCAATCCAGAAGCTCTCCAAGGCTCAGGCTCTAGGACCTTTCTTAGAAGCTTTGCCATGGAAGTATGAATAGTAACTCAAACTC